GGGGCGATACAGCCCCAGCCAGTGCAGCCAGCGGGTGCAACCTGAGGGAGAGGGAGTGTCTGTAGGGCAGATGGTTCCCTAGCTCCCCTGGCAGAGCTGCTGGGGAAGGGAGCGCATGGCTGGAGTGAGGCGCCCAGCTATGTGGGGAAGTCACCAGCACGGTGAGTCAGGGATTGCAGGGGGGAGTATGCTGTGTACAGCTCCTTACACCTGCCACAGACCAGGGCTTCCTCAGCACCCGCCACCGGCCACGCGCCCGCCTTCCGATCAGCAGCCCGTGTCCCAGCGGGACAGGGAGGATTCCAAGTGGTGCCATTGGAATTGGAAGGCCCTATAGAAATGACTCTAAATGCCTACAGACCATGTAGTCTCCTCCCAGGGCTGGGATGGTCGGCTATGTACTTTCAGATGCCTGGATAGTGGCCCTTCCCGGCACTGCTCTCTGGGGCTGTATGCGGGTGGGGTGTCACAGCCCTGCGCCTTTCTCCTCTGCCAGCTCAGCAGCCACTCCAGCCCCGCCCTGGCTCAGGCAGGCAGTGCAAAGCCACTGAATGGGCATCAGCACTGGGAGGAGCCAGAGCCAGAGCAGCTTCGGCTTGAGCCCCAGAGGGGCCAAACCCAGCCCCTGGGTCTGAGAATCCCGCACCCCGGGCCGGCTAGCTCTGGAGATTTGAGATCCCAGTGCTTTGGCTATGGGATGTGGGTTGGGCCGTGCTCTGTCTCAGCCCAGGGCTGGGTTCTAAGCAGGCGCTCCAGCTACACCTGGGCGATCGGTGCCTCCCTCCCAGCGCTCTCCCGGGGCTGGTCCAGCCCATGCTGTGCCAGCACAGCCCTGGGCCTTAATGGCACAAGAGCTAAATGCCCTCCCCACCCCACCCTACCCCCTCAGCACACCCAGGGGAGGCATGGCGAGACCATTATGGCAGGGCAAGCAGACACAGAGGGGAGATGCTGATCTGTTACCCTGGGTTCTCTCCAGTTACTCCCCATTGACACAGGGCGACTGAGATCCAAACCGGGGGCTGATCCCTGGCCTGGGTTGTGGGAGGGAGACTCTGCCTCCTGCTCCTGCCAGACCCTGCTGACAAAGAATGCCCCAAGCTGCTGGTTGGAAAATGTGCCCAGCTGCACGCCAGGTTCTCTCCCTGCCCCCGGCTGGCTGGCCTTGTGCTTCTCAGGCCCGGCAGATGTTAGGGGGGGTTGTTTGTTTGCTTAAGCAGCATAAATCCCATCTCCAGTTGTGCAATAAAGCTGTTATCCTGGATCCGACCTGCTCCGCACATGGCAACAGCCTGTGGGCTCTGGTAACACCAGCGCTGCTGCCCCCAGAGCTGCTTCCAGCAGGCAGGGGCCCTGCTACGGGTGTCGGTCACGGAGTCGGGGTCACCACGACTCCATACTGCAAAGCAACCGCCTTTGAGCTGTAGAGAACAGGCACTAGCCCCTGTACCGCAGCACACCTCAGCCACCGCGCCTGGCCGGCTGTGCGCAAAGGCAGGGGTGCAGAACAAGACTGCGGGGGGAGTGCATGAATACAGAGCTGCTTGAGCCATTCCCACCGTAACTGACAGACAGACAGGCAGCCCCCAGGCACGTGGAGAACAAAGTGCAGGATCCTCCAGCTCTCAGCACCACAGTTCCATGGCCCTGCTCAGCTGGGAGACACTGACATTGCGCAGGAGGAAAGCACCTACACAGCTGGGGTGGGGAGTTAACACACAGAGGGGAGCAGAAGTATCACTGCATCAGCCTTAGCCCTCCACCGGGTCCCACCCGCACAGCCCTAACCATGCATTTTCCCTTGTGTCCTCCAGCGTGACTGCATGGCCCAGCAGCATCCATCCATACACAGCGAGGCAAGATGGCTGCAGGAGTGATCAGGAACCTGGCAGAGTTCAGGCTGCCCGCTTCCTTCCAACGCTCATTCCTCCACCCCATCCCATCCCAGGACATGGACTTCCAAGACCTGTCAGAGGAAGAGGAGGAGGAGGTGGAAGAGGAAGAGGACTACGATGTGGAAGAGGACAGCCCTCCCTGTCACAGTCCTGGCACAGAGGGGCAGAAAGTCACAGCTGGTTGCAGCCAGAATGACGCAGAAATGACCCTGCAGCTCCTGAAGTTCTCCGAGCTGATCAGCTGCGACATCCAGAGATACTTTGGAAGGAAGGCCAAGGATGAGGACCCCGACTCCTGCAACATCTACGAGGACTGCTTCTCTCCCCGCCGGCTGGGGCGGGAGCTGTACTACGCAGACCTGATGCGACTCGCCCAGAGTGGCGAGCTGGATGACGAGGATGCCCAGGGCCCTGCGGCACCCCCGGGGCAGCTCGACCAGAGGGTCTGGAGGTCCATTTGTAACAAGGACGGGGCACAGAAGCTGGGGCCATTAGCGGAGCTCTTCGAATACGGCTTGCGCCGCTTCCTCAAGCGGAGGGCGGCTGACGGCAGGAAGCTGCGGCTGGAGAAGAAGTATGCCCACATCATGCCTATGCACAAGAGGAAGTTGCCACAGTCCTTCTGGAAGGAACCGTCACCTGGCCCCCTGTGTATCCTCAACACAAACCCGCCTGACTTCAGCGACCTCCTGGCCAACTGGACATCAGAGCCTGGGCAGGAGCTGCCCAGCACTGGCAGGGAGCTGGCCGGGGAGCTGGCCAGGCCGGCCATGGAAACCGATCAGTTCAGTGTGCTGTGAGGCAGAGGAACTGGGAACCCAGCCAGCCCCACCAGGGGCCCCTGTGCTGGACAGACGCTCTATGCCCATAAAGTGCTGAGGATGGGAGCACCATGCCCACCCGCAGTTCTGACTCCAGACGGAACCAAGCCCCCAAACCGACACCTGGCCTATGTACCATGGGCCTTAGCCTGCTCTCACCCCTTAAACCTGACAGACTCTGAGTCCCTCCCAGCTGCAGCACCAGCCTTTGTGCCCATCCTGTAAAACCATCCACGTCTGTGTGTCCTGCAGGGATGTTGGGCAGTGTCAGGCTGCAGCTGCTGCCATCTGATAGTTGCATCCCCACCATGTGCCATGCTGGTTAATGATAAAGCTCACTCCCTTTTTATGAGACAGGGCTCTGATGCCATGGGTGGGGGTTGGGAGACACGTCACCTGGGATTTACCAGCAGCCCAGACCCGGGCTGTGGCAATGGGGGTGTTTGAGTTTATTTTCCTCGGATTGCCATGGCACTGGCTAGGGCGAATAAACGCTTCTTTTGAGCGCATGTGTATCAGCAATGCCCTCTGATCTCAGCCAGGCACGAGGGGCCCACGGCGCTGAGACAGAGGCTGGACCCAAGGGCAGCTCACAGACTGGGCCAAATCCTGTCCTAGTGCCACTGATTTCAGGCTTGGATCCGGCCCCTTGTGCACTGCGGGCTGGAGGCAGGTGGGATGGGATGTGTGTCCCTGCCCCATTGGACACACAGTACTCCGGCGGTGCTGAGTGCTCACCGCGCTGGCAGTCAGTGTGGGGGGCGGCAGGGGAGGGAAGTGCGGGCTGCAGGCACTCAGCACCATCCCTGCCCTGTCGGACACACTGTACTCCAGCAGTGCTGAGTGCTCACTGTGCTGGCAGTCGGGAGGGAAGGGGGCCTGCAGGCACTCAGTACCGATGAAGAAAATCAGGCCTGAGGGTCTCACCATCAACACTCAACCCACCCGCATTTCACTTCCAGGGCTGGGGACGAGGAGGCAGACACTCCAGTGTGATTGTGGGGGGAGGCTCTCACTCCCCATTCGACTCCAGGGAGGGCCAGCTTCTCTGGCAGGGGGTGCCCACGAGCATCCTCTATAGTGGCTCTATGCGGGTGTAGCAGGGAAAGGGGGCGTGGCTGGAGAAAGTAGTTGTGGCCTGGACTCCCCAGTGCTGAGCCTCAACTGTGTTTTCAGCCCCTCCTTTCCAGCCAGCGTAAGTTAGAGTAGCCTATAGGCGGCTCTAAAATGGGGCAGGGAGTGCAGAGGAGAACCTTATGGCACCTTTGCCTGCTCCCTGAGGCTGGCAGCACCATCTCCCCTGCTGGGCACTGTAAACAGTCCTCAGCAATGAGACAAACCTATCTACAAGAAACAGCCCAGGGAACACACCCCCACAGGGCCTCTCGGGGAGTGGCCTCTCCCAGAACACACTGAGGGGGAATGTCACATGTGCCACTGGCCCCAGGAGGTTGTGTGTGCCTCCCTCCCAAAGAGACTCACCCAGCACCCATATCCTACTCTCCTGGAATGGAAGTGAGGGGGGCTTTTAAATCTCTCCCAAGCAGCTCCCACCCTTACAGTCACCCCCCCTGTGTTAGCAAACACCTCTTGTTTTGGGGGGCAGCATGTGATGGGGATGCTCTACTCACTGCAGGATGGCACCTCCTCCTGGCCATTCTGGGGATTAGCTCCAGGAGGCCAATGCCCCTTTCTGCAGCTGCATGCCAGATCTCTGTTTCTCTCTCCCAGTCTCTCTCACTCCAGGAGCTTCTACTGCCGCTTCATGACTCAGCCCCTGGGCCAGGTCACTCAGTGTTCCGCCCTCTGGGGTACAGTCCTTCAGCCTCTATCACTCCCAGTGCAACCCAGGCAGCCTTCCAGTTCACTACCCCACACTGCCACTGCCCCATTGGTGGGCAGGGGAACCTGGGCCAGCCCCCTACTCCAGGTCCCAGCCCAGGGACCCTACAACACACAGCCAAAGTCTGCTGAGTCCCCAGCCTTGCTACTTCCCACTGACTCTCTTCAGGGTACATGCTCCCCCATTCTGTTAAGCAGACAGTGACCACAAGCATCCTCCCAGCAGCCTTTGCTGCTGTTACTGCTGCCAGCTTCCCGGGTTTATACTAGCCCAGCCCACCGCTGCTCAGGTGAACTTCCTCTTAATTAGGGCTTTCTCCACCCTTAATTCCCCCAATTTGCAGCCTAACTGGCTAATTGGCCCACCTGGCTTGCCTCAGCCCTCTCCCAGCCAGTGTGGGGAGGACATCCCAGCACAGGGCATCAGATGGGGAACTAACCTCCAGTCTGGCAGGTCACTTCTCTGCTAGCTTTGGGGCCAGCAGTCCTCTGTGGATGACAGAAGGGTCTGAAAGCAGGATCCTAAGTGGCTCCTGGCTGCAGCCTCATCTCCAGGGATGGTGTGACTGCCTCCCCGCACACAGCGCTTGGACAGCGCTTCCCCACCAGAGAGCACAGAGACGGCCACGTATCATCATCCACCGGCCGCTATGAGTCCTCAGGCCAGGAATGGGTCTGCCTTATGCCCATAGCAAGGAGCAGAGCAGAGGCCCAGTGCCCAAGGACTGTTGTGAGCAACCATCACTCCCTGCTCCAAGGGTCTGGCCTTACAGCAGGAACCATGGCTTGGCTGCTGGTTGGCACAGTGGGATGCCACACCTCCCACCCACCTGTGCCAGGGGAAGGGGAGCAGGAAGACACGTAGAGCCAAGGGCTAGGTACTAGTGCAGAGGTTGGAGGAGGGTTTTGCTCCTTTGATGCCCCCGTATGGGGATGCAGCCCAAGCCCCATTCAGGGTCATTCAGGAAGTTTGCGGTGGGGTCAGGCACAAAGCACCGTACCCGCCCTTCTGCCATGCATCCAGGCAGGGCTGTGCCACCTGTTGTCACCCCCCAGGAAATGCCATTCTGACCTCCCCCCCCCCCCTCACCAGTGGTGCACACTGACTGCATCACACAGTTGATGCAGTTCCACAACACCCCCCCCCCTTCCGCTGCCTCCTAGTCTGAGCCTGCCTGGGGCGATGTTCACATTACCCGGCACGTGAAACCTCTGCTAGTTCAGGAGCTGCTAAGCCCTGATCTGTTCCTGGGGGCTGGATTTAGATTAGACATTTAGATTTAGACATTTCCCTTGTGCAGAAAGGAAGCAAAGTCAGCCAATGTCTCATCACCTCTAGACAGGTTGGGAAACCACCATCAGTCTAGGCATGGCTGATGGGAGACAGGCCGTGCAGCCTGAGCGGATTGAGGAAGTTTGTGGTCATCCTCTGTTTAGCAGAGTGGGAAGGAGGGACCCCAGGGAAAGTGTAGGCCCCTAGGGGCCTGGCCTGGCCTGGGGGCATGTACCCTGACCTGGGCTGATAATTCACAGGCTAAGGAGGGGGAGCTGGTCTCCACCCAGGTCGATTGCTGATGGGAAGAGCCATGTCTCAGGCAGGGGGGCCCAGGGGGTCATGGCCGCATCACATCACTATGCCCTCCCACTTTTTACCGGCTGTAAGGGCGAGCAACAGGGGACAGAGAGGAGTGAGTGGGGGTGGGAAGGGGTGGGGCAGCACAGAGGCTATGGTTTGGGCATCAGTGCCCCCCCCACACACACACTTTTAGGGAGCTTCCACCACTCCTGGCCTCTGTAGTTTGTTATAAATGTTGTTAAATCCATTAAACAAAAATC